CCATTAGTGGGTTATGGTTATAATAATAATAATAATAAAGTCAGCGCCTTGCCAAGAGGTGTGAGCGCCGTGCCTCGGCAGTACTCAGGGTGCAAAGGCCCGTTTGTGCCTACGGCCGTACAATGATACAATGAAACGGTGCCGGGCCTGGGCGTCTCCCGTTAATTGGCGCCCAAAAATGGATGATGGATATGATTGGAAAACGTATAGGGCCGCTGCCTGGGGGTCGCCGGGGCGCGTCTGGAGCTGGCGCTGGACGCGGCAGCATGCGGGCCGCCAGCCGAGCGCGAGGAGCTGCAAGAACACCTAACAGCCCCCCGCATCCATCATCCCCACCAGACGGCTTGATGTCGGCAGGGTCCTCTCGGACTCGGCAAGCGGCATCCGCCGCTGGTGGAGTGCGCCGCATGCGTTGGACAAGGGATATGAACGCAAACGCACTGCGGGCGTACTATAGGGCGAAAGGGGAAGAAACTGCGGGGATAGCGTATCGGGCTCGGATGCATTGCTTTTTTGCTGCGCTGGAGCCGTCTATTCCCGTCACGGAACAAAACCTGGCAGACCGAGTTCGGTACATCATGCGCTCGAAAATATTCGATGATGCCGAGCTCGAACGACTACGACGTGAGGCCATTCCCCTCATCGAATGAATTGGCTACGGCTGGGGATGCGGCTCCTCAGGCGACAGACCAGCTGCCACGCGTAGAAGCCGCCATGGATCTTCCAGTTGTGGTTGATTCAGATGATGATGATATGGTCTCCCACGAACTAGAGCAAATGAGGAGTATATTGGAAGAGGCAATTTTGGAAACGCGCAGCATGCCTCTCGAAAATCGACCGCGACTTCCTCGCATACCTCTAAGCAAGCGAAATCGGGCTGTCGTGAGGGCTCTTAACCCAATGCTGGTAACCTATTTGGAAGCCAGCCGGGACCTTTGCGAGACGGACTCAGTTCTTTTTGGCGCCGCAGTGGCAGCTTGCCGTATTATTGGCGCCAGACTTCCCATGGCTGGACGCGCTACTAAACAAAGTAGCGCCATCCCAGCCTGGAGAAAAAGAATTGAGGACCGTATCGCAAAGGCAAGGGCCCTTATCGGCAGACTGATAAGCTTCAGGTCGGGTAATAATAGACCGAGGGTTGTGCGCACCGTTAGAATGGCGTTTGCTGGGACAAATATCAGTTTGTCCCAGCCGGATATCACGCAGAAACTAACGGAGCGCATAGACGACCTGAAGCAAAAGATTGCTGCTTGGGGGAAGCGGATTCGCCGATTTACTGAGAGGTCAAGGCGGTTCAACCAGCATCGTCTCTTCCAGAGTGATCAGAAGAGGCTCTACAAATCATTGGAGCGACCAGAGGTATGTGGAGCGGGCCCAGGACCGGACCAGGCTAACACTGTCGCATTTTGGCGTGGCCTGTGGTCAGAGCCCGTAAACCACAGCGAGGGCCCTTGGACGGAAGTTGTGGCGAGTCAGTGTGCGAGGATTACGCCCATGGACCCCGTCATCATAACGCCGGATGACGTAGCTGAGGCGGTCCGTAGAGCCCCGAACTGGAAAAGTCCGGGACTCGACGGACTCCATCACTACTGGCTGAAGGGGGTTCATGGTGTGTCACGCTGTGCTCGCCCGTCAGTTTCAAGAGGCTCTCAACCAGAAGTCGCTCCCTAGCCTCTTCACTACTGGGATCACTCATTTGGTTCCTAAAGACCAGGTTACCACAGACCCGAGCAAATACCGCCCCATTACGTGTCTACCCACCATATATAAGACACTGACATCCATTTTGAGCGCGAGAATCACTCGTCACCTGGAGCTAAATCAGATGATGTCACGCGCTCAAAATGGATGTCGGGGCGGTGGTCGTGGAACTAAGGAACCACTCCTCATTGACGCGGTCATTGGCAGAGTGGTGAAACGCAACCGTCGGAACTTCTCCGCCGCCTGGATAGACTACAGAAAGGCATTCGACTCGGTGCCCCATACATGGCTAAAGAGAGTCCTCGAGCTGTACAAGATAGACTGTACAGTGAGAGACTTCCTCGAGCAGTGTATGGGGCAGTGGAGTACGATCCTTTGTCATCTGGGTGAGCGGATGACGGCTGCGGAGAACCACATAAGGATAAGAAGGGGTATCTTCCAGGGCGATTGTCTGAGTCCAATCTGGTTCTGCCTCTCCCTGAACCCTCTCAGTACCTTACTGGAGGGATCCGGGAGGGGGATTTCAGCTTCGAAAAGGAGGGACAAAAGTGACCCACCTTTTTCTATATGGATGACCTTAAGTTATTCGCCTCCAGTCGCTCCCATCTTATGGAATTGCTAAACATCACTTGTGAATTTAGCAATTCTATTAGAATGGAGCTGGGGACGGATAAGTGTGCGGTCCTCCATGTTGAGAGGGGAAGGGTTGCTAACTCTGAGGGCATAGATTTATCTATGCCCGTCAACTTAAGGACCCTTTCCGAGACTGAAACATACCGATACCTGGGTATGTCACAGAACATCGGTATCGATGAGGCTGGTATGAAACAGTCAGTTTGCGACGTGTTTTATGCACGCTTGACCAAAGTGCTTAATAGCCTTTTGTCCGGTGTGAATAAGACACACGCATATAACGGTTGGGTCATACCTGTCCTTATGTATACCTTTGGCATACTCAGGTGGACTCAGACTGAACTTAACGCCCTGGATAGAAAAGTCCGCACTACCATGACGTCCCATAGGATGCATCATCCGAGATCGTCGGTAATGAGGCTGTACTTGCCGCGGAAGCATGGTGGTCGTGGCTTCTTGAGCGCGCTCACCATGCATAATCGCGAAGTGTGCAGCCTCCGTGATTACTTCCTGGCGAGATCGGATGATCCATTCCATAAGGACGTCATTTCTTGTGATAAAGGACTTACCCCTCTATCCTTAGCCAACGAGCAATGGCAAGACCCGGCAGTGCAGAGCATTTCCGACCGGGAGACCGTATGGAAGGAGAAGGAGCTCCACGGGAGGTTCTACAAGGCTCTACATGAGCCTTTGGTAGACACAGTAGCCTCCCTCCACTGGCTACGCTTTGGTGATCTCTTCGGGGAAACCGAGGGTTTTGTCTGTGCAATACAGGATCAGGTTATTAAGACCAACAACTATCGGAGATACATCCTAAAGGATGGCACCGTCGACATCTGTCGAGCTTGTCACCATCCCGGTGAGTCACTTAGGCATGTTATCTCCGGTTGTTCGGCGCTTTCTAACTCTGAGTACTTGCACAGGCACAACCTAGTAGCCAGAATTCTACACCAGGAGCTCGCTCTGAAATACGGTCTCGTGGATCGGAAATTGCCGTATTACAAGTACTTGCCGGAAGCCGTGCTCGAAAATGATCGCGCCAGGCTCTATTGGGACCGGGCCATCATCACAGACAGGACTATTCTTGCGAATAAGCCTGATATTGTGCTGATGGACCGGGCACAGTCAAGGATATTTTTGGTCGACATTACCATTCCGTATGACGAGAACCTCGTGAAAGCCGAAACAGACAAGCAAACAAAATATCTGGACCTGGCTCACGAGGTGACCGACATGTGGGGTGGTCTGCCGACCGAAATTATTCCTGTAGTCGTCTCTGCAAACGGGCTAATCCCAGTCAGCCTCTCGGGTCATCTGAGGCGGCTGGGACTACGTGGCGGACCGCTCCAGGTTCAAATGCAGAAGGCGGTGCTCCTCGATACCGCCCGCATCGTCCGCCGGTTTCTTTCCCTTTCCCCCTAACCCTCGGCCGTTTGGTCTCCCCTGCCGAGGGTCTCCATCTGGTTGGGCTTTTATTTATTTATGTACTTTTATATTTATTTTGTTATTGATATTTATGTATATTTATTTTTTCATTTTCATTTATAATTATATATTTATAGAACCCAACCAGATGAGAAAACTATATAGATACCCCATAATAATAATAATAACTCTTCTATTTCAGACATAGATGCATATAAGTTGTTAGTTGCGCCCCTTAAATACTAAAGTTAGTTCTTTAAATATGTGTAAAAAAAATTTAAATGTCATTTGAATATGGTTATAAACGTCTTATATAATCTGCACAAGTAGCAAGACATTCATTTTATGCGAATTGACAATAAAATTATTGTATTTCGTTAAAACTAATAAAGCCATATCCAAATATAACAATACAAATACAACATACTCGTATACTAATACATATTTATATTATTATTATTATTATATAGTATTTGAGAATTATTTCATATCTTTTGTATATACTTTGTACACATTCTTCAAACAAACAAGTGGTCACGTGCGTTGCCTTCCGTTACTTTGTCATTTCTTGTAGGAAATTATAAAAGTTAAAAAACATAGAATTATTGAAATTATTTTTAAAGAATACAATATTTTTCATTTCTTTGTTATAAATTCCCTTACATAGCCAAATGTTTTTATACTATAAGAAACCCCTTAAAACTATTTACTACATTATATTATTATTATCTGCTTACTGACATTTACCTCGTGTACAACGTTGAAGAAAGCACTGCAAGGAAATTTACATGTGAGAAATATATAAAATATACAAATAAATGTTACCGTCACCGTTACAGCCTATTAAACCCCTTAGCTAAACATTGGCCACTTGCCACACAGGAGAGATATTTGCCTTAGTTGCCACGCTTGGTAAGCGGGTTGCTGGCAGGTTTTTATTTTTAGTCGTTATTAGCAAGATGCTGATGCCCATCCCCTCATTTGTTATCTTCTGTCGCCTAGGTAGTGGATATTCTTACACCGCCATCACACGGTTAATATTATTGTAATTCATAAATATTAGTCTATTACGGTCACATTATTAACTTTTAAATAATTACAAAGGAATATAATATAAATATAATAATACACAATGACATTATCTAAAAAAATTAAACATGTCGACATGGGAGAACAATTTTCTGTAAATAGGCAAAATACCGAAATTGTGTGTGTTTATAAATTAGTTTTCTATTTTCATTATACGTATGTGCTTACAGCAAAATAAAGATAACATTTTTGCCTACCCATTCACTTACATCTTCCGTATTCAAAGCTCAAGATACTCGTAACTTGTAGCATTCTAAGACTTTTGATCATCAAGATTAGTTTACTTACAGCAATTTTACGGATCGTACATTTTTGGTTACATTACTTACAATAATTCATGTTTTCAGAATTTCATTTTCATTTAAAAAAATACGTTAACAAGTTTGTGAACTTTTTTGGTTTGATGACTATATATAATATAACGTCTATTATCGCCTTAGTTTAGTTTTATTCTTTATGTATTTATTCATTACTTTTGGTCCGTTTTTAGTTTTAAATTTGAAGAAATTGCATTTATTTCTGTTTATGTGTTTCTGTGTTTGCTTTTCAATTATTTGACGTACCAAGACTACTCAATAGAAATAATGTATAGTTTCTTTTTTGTAATAATTGTACAGTTACAAACTGACATTTTAGTTTATTTATGTAATTTTAATTACTGATAAACAAAACGAAACTGGATTGCTTGACTCCATTCTTAAAATAAACTAAAATAAATAAGACCCGTCCCAATTTTGCCTGGATATATCTGTCTATTAATGTGGTGCATTTAAATTTAAAATAATCAAAGACAATATATTAAAAATATTCAGTTTGTTCATAAAGATCTTTAAGTTTTTCGGATAAAATATAACGTAGATCCCTCCTGGTATCACCCAGTCATTCCGAAGAATAGCCCGGACAAACAGACCGGCAGATAAAAAACCGCGTCTATAAGAATATTTATGTTTTGATATCATGCAAATGACCCCCGGAGCTTAATTGATTTAAATCTACAGATATAAAGAAATCTATACTGCGGCCAATGAGACGGGATACCAAATGTAAAAAAAACTAAAGTAGGTTGCGTAACTTTTACGCACCCCTGTTATTGCTTTGTTTGTTGTTTATCTTTCTGTTATTTTTCACTTGGTTAGATTATTTATTTAAATAGACAATACAGTTTTAAAAAATGTCTAGCAAACCAAAAAAAAATAGACTTTTTATAAATTTTGTTATAATTTGAATTATTGTTTAATGTAGATTTAAATTAAATAAATGCATTCTGCACCATCTCTTTTCTGTATGGGTGTTTGTCATTATCAAGTTTTTAACATATTTGTAGGTATAAATAACCATATTTTTTCATTCAAAATAAAACTAGTCACCCAAAATTAAAAATTAAATTAAAATGATATACATACTTTACTTACATGCATTTTTAATAAATTTAGAAAAATTTTATTATTACAGTTTTTGTTTTTTAAATAACTGTAAGATTACTTTAAAGTACACTCCGAACCAAGAAGTTTTAATTAAAACTACTAAACAACATTCATATAATATATTCTATCCATATACATACCTTTGGACGTTTCTTTTCCTGAGAAGTAAAAACTGTTGATTTATCTCTCGACGTACCATGTGGTACGTCTCACAATCATGTGGCTCCATAATTAACCACTCTTAATAAAAAATAATTATGAACAAAACAAATTAACAGTAATGAAATAAAGAATAATTACTAAAATGGAGTATACTAGAGCTGTTGGCGACGCGTCTATAAGAATATTTCAATTTATTAGTTAACCGATTACGAACAGTTTCTAAAAACAAATTATCGA